AAGGCTGCGAATGCCTGCTCTAACTAGTATGAACAAAGTCGCTAAGGGCCTGATCCATAAACAGGCATCAATGCTAAGTTGTACTGAGTTCATTCCATTGACTACTATGTCTAGCAAATGTCAGATGGTCTTAAGCGTTATTCCTAAAGGGAATATAGTGAAACGCCTGGTAATGACTAGCTCTAACAGGTAATTCCAAGTTATAAACCAGGTGTCCTTAACATTTCCAGTAGAAGTGGGCCTTATCCTCCCTGATTGGATCCACCTTGTCATCTCCAGCCTGATCCTGGCCTGCATATTTATACCTGCCTCTGGAAATTTCCACTGCATGCATCTGACGAAGTGGGTCTTTGCCCACAAAAGCTTATGCTCCAACACTTCAGTTAGTCTATAAGGTGTCACAGGACTCCTCGCCGCTTTTGCAGATTCAGACTAACACGGCTACCCCTCTGATAACGTCAAATATTATTGCGCCTAAGATATCCAACAGTAACAAAACACCACCCTGCATCAGCTGTTGGTTTTGCCTCAATGCTTTTTGGAGATGTGGCACTGTTTCTACAGGCGACTTATCAAGTTGGAATTTGCTAGGATTTGCTGTAAGAAATTACAAGACAGCATGTCAGAGAACGGAGATTTTCCGGAGCAATAATGAAACTAGACTTGCCTCATAATTTACTAATAAAGCATCTGTCAAGGTAAGTAGAACGTGCAAAATGTTAACTAAAGCATTTTATTACGTGAGCAAACAACTCAGGCCTTGCCAACTATAGTTTTCTTCCAAAAAATAAACTTTACCATAGATCATGGAATCATAGGTCGGGAAGGGATCTCTAGAGGTCACCTCATCCAGTCCCCTGCACTCATGGCTCGCCTAAGCATTATCTAGAAGACCGTGCCTGACAGATGTTTGTCTAACCTGCTCTTAAAAACCTACAGAGGTTAAGGTGAACAATTTTCCCCCTCCTCCTTATAACAATCTTTAATATAGTTGAAAACTGTTATGTCCCCTCTTCATCTTCTCTTCTCCAGAGTAAACAAACCCAATTTTTCAATCTTCGCCCATTAGTCTTGTTTCTAAACTTTTAATAATGTTTGTTATTCTTCTCTCCAGTTTGTTCACATCTGTCCTGAAATCTTTTCAAAACATCTATACTAGAAGCAGCTGAAAAGAAAGAGAGGAAGAAACAAAAGGAAAGTGGATCTCAGAAGAAACATGGAAAACTATAGATGAAAAAGCCAAACAGGTGTAGCACTACATGTGATTGAAGAAACAAATCAAACCTACATGAACCTTGACAAAGCAGATAAGAAAAAATGCAAACAAGATGAGCAAAATTGTATAAAGGTTGGTAAAGCTCAGGAAGCAGGGAAAAGAAATGATACAAGAACAGTCAACACAATCTTGAAACAGTTAACAGGATATGGATCAAAATTCAGAAGAGTCCCAGTGAAAGGGAAACAAGGGGAAATTCTGAAAACATAGGAGGAACAAGAAAATAGATGGGTGGAACACTTCATAGAAGTTCTAACTGAGCCAGAACCAATTCTGAGACTGGAATTTAACAATGATAAACCTTCAGACTTAGAAACAGAACTGAAGTAAAAATTGAAGAAGTTAAAAATAACAAGGCATCTGGTTTGGACAGCACTCATCCTGAGGTGCTTAAATATGGCAATGAAGATGTGGAATCAGTCATCTGTTCACAGTGCAATAAAATACGGACAGGAGAAAGTGCCAGAAGAACAGACCAGCAGTATCACAATCAGATTAGATTATTATGATCAAAGAAAGGTGATCTAAGCAATTTCTCAACTTGGAGGGGGGGTGGGTAACGCTTCTATCAGGAAAAGTATTAGCAACAGGTCTTCCGGAACAGAATGAAAGGAAAGATGGATACTATCCTGTGGAAACAACAATCTGGATTTAGACAAGGGAGACTGTGTGCAGACTCTATTTCCACCCTGAGACAGATTACGGAGAACACAATTGAATTCCAAATCTTGCCATCAATTTGGTGGACTTTCACATCAAGACAGGTGGAAGGGAGGAGTGTGTCCTGTCTCCTCCTCTGTTCATACTAGTCATCAACTACGGACTAAAACGATGCAATAGTGATACATCTGACCTAAAATGTGACAATTCAAGGCTATCTGAGCTAGACTTTGCTGATGACATCGCTCATCGATGAAGATGCCAACAGATTACAAAAATGCACTAATCAAATAAAAGAAATAACGAAGATAGGTCTGAGATTCAATGTAAAATATTGTCCGTGGTTACATGGATAGCAAACTACATGCATTTTAACATCTCTAATTTGCAGACTTGAGAACTTATTTGATTATCTATTTTAAAAACATTTTATTTCACCTTTAAGCTTGATGTTTTGGAAAGTTAAAGTCCCTTTATTGGCACAATTAAATCACCCATCTCCAACTATTTAGGTAGGATATCAACCAAGAAGTTGACAGAAATACTATTTCCTCTAACGCTATTAAACTTTGTTAATAAGAGCCAATTTATACTATGAAATACAACGTCAGGGAGCTGGGTCACTTTGCTTATCCCAGACCTGTAACAAATACAGTTCCAGTTTGCAAAGAGGACTGCATGTTAATCTTGTTTCCTAACCAGCCTAAAGTCTTGGGCATGACTGTATAACTATACCAGTATATCTCTAAAAGTGCTGCATACTGCAGCACTGAGAACAGTGGCTGAATATTACTTCTGTCTCCCTGTACTCACCCACCAGCTCAAATTATTGTCAAGATTTCACAAAACTATCTCCAATAAAAAATACCCTGCTGTTTTTCTTCCTTCGGATGTTCAAGATGTGAATGTCCTCACTCCGATACTCCTCATCGTGTTTCTCCAGTGGAACCTTTTCCGACTCAAAGTCCATCTGAAGCAGCTGTTATTAAAGCATAAAGGGCAGTAAGCCAAATATTTCTAGGGAGATTGACATTTTAACATTTTTAAGTGGGTAATGATTTTTGATGGGGGGGTCTACTCAATTTGGAAAGTGGTTAAGGGCCACACTCTTCTATATTAGTGGAAATGGTATTGCATCTGGGGTGGAGGTTGGGTACAGAAGGGAGCATGGGGTAAGGGACTAGCATTGCAGGAGGCAGCAGGGGGGTCTGGGAGGGAGTTTGGGGGAAGGAGGAGGCTATGACCTGGGACAGGGATTGGGATGCAGGATCCAGGAGGGGATGTGGGCGCAGGAAAGGGTTCTGATCTGGAGGAAGGGTGTAAGAGAGGGTGCAGGGTCTGGGAGGGAGTTGTGACCAGGGCAGAGGTGCAGGAGGGGCTGCAGAGGGTTCGGACTGTGGCCTTGGGGAAGGGAGGGGACAGGGTGCCAGGGGTTTCCCAGCCAGCAGCTCACTAGGATCTCAGGACCTGCCAGGGCTCCACATGCTGCTCAAAGCGACTGCCTGCTGGTGCCAGAGTTTGCAACTTTTCACTGAGCATCCTGGGGAGGGAGAGGGGGGGCATGTGCTGCCTGCACAGTAAGCATAGTCCATGCAGCTCCTATTGGCTGGCTTCTGATCAATGGGCTATGAGGATTGTTCTGGGATGGGGATAGCGTGTGGACCCCCATGGGGCACAGACATGTACTTAGCCCCAGAAGCTGGCCACTTTGAGCAGCATTTGGGGCCGTAGCAGGCAGGGAGCCTGCCTGAGAGTCCTGTGGGGCCAAGAGACAATGATGGCCCAAAGCATCGTGGCAGGCTGGATCTGAAGGTTTGGTGGGGGGGGAATCCAGACCGTGGGCCATATTTCGCCCACCTCCAATCTACACCATCGTTTTACAGCCCAAGCCCTGCAAGACCATGTCAGCTGACACAGACCAGCCATAGGGGTCTAATTGCTGTGTAGACACTCCCTGAGTAATTTAACAGCTTAAATCCCATTTTACAACCAGTGCACTGATTTAGGCACTTTGGCTCCTAAATCCCATTGGGCTTCAATTAGTGATGTTAAATTTCAACTAATCGAATAGTCGATAAGGACTAGCGTGGTGTTCCGCCTTTGAAATGTACAAGAGCCCCAGCACGGTCTCTTGTGCACTTCAAAGACTGAAATGCTGTGTGGAGCCTGGGGCCAGCAGGCAGTCCCCCGCTGACCCTGGGCTCCATGCGGGAGCTTCCACTTTGAAATGTACAATAGCCTCTGTACTATGCTCACAGTGAACACGAATTATCAAAAGCGCCAACGTAGAACTAAGGTGTTTTTAAAAAAACTTCTTTTCCCCCCAAAATCTGAGATAATTTAAATAAATACAGAGCTAGCACTACCAATAAGCATCTGAAACAGTTTGCTTGTTCAAAATTTCTACTTCATGCATCTGATGAAGTGGATTCCCACCCACAATAGCTTATGCCCAAATAATGAGTCAGTCTTTAAGGTACCACAGGACTCCTTGATGTTTTTGCTGAAACAGACTAGAAAGTTTTTCCTAATCACTAAACTAAATTTCTCTCATTGCAAATTAAGCCCATTATTTCTTACCCTATTCTTCAGTGGACCTGGAGAATAAATGACCATATATATTCCTCTTTATAATAGCGATTAGCAAATTTGAAGACTGTTTTCAGGTCATCATCTTTTCCAAAGACTGAACAGGCCCAGGTTTTTCTTTTTTAAATCTTTTCTCAGAGATCAGGTTTTCTAAAACTTTTCTTATTTTTGTTGTTCTCCTCTGTGCCCCGAGTTGGACACAAAACTCCAGATGAGGCCTCACTATGTGTTGTATAGAGTGGCACCTTTATCTTCAATGCTGACAATACTGTTATTATGCCCCAAAATATTAGTCTTTTTCACAACTGTCACAGTGTACACTCAGATCCCATTTGTGATCCACTATAACCTCCAGATTCTTTATAGCAGTACTCCACCAACTCAGCTATTCCCCACTACAAACATACTTGATTTGTCCTATGAATTGTACTTACACAGAACGGATCTAATCTGAGGATTTCAACTGAATCATTACATAGTCCTTATATACACAAAGCACATAAGATGGCAAAGGATACTTACCTCAAAGTATTTTCTCTCAATTTCTGGATTTTTGCCCATAGTCCTTTGTTCGTAACAGCATATGATACAGGTATCAGGACCTGAAAGGTCTTTCAGGGTCTTCAGCAGTGGCTCTAATGACTGCTCAAAAAAAAAAAATTAAGCATTTGCCACTTAGACTTGAAGTTCACTTTACCATTACTACATTCCATAACTAGAGACAGATTTCACTGGACTGTACTCATTTTATTTTTCAGACAGCTAATTATATTTAGTACAGTACTTAGGGCAAGTGACAGGTAAGTTGCAGAAAGGAAGAATGAGAAAAGTTACAGTATCAGATTGCTTAGAAAAATAGCATTTTACCCATTTTACATATATAGATAATTTTTAACTATAAGCCTGTATGTCATTTTATCTATAAGCAGTTATATCATCTCAGGCAAGGACACGCTACACTGTTAAAGTAGCTATTTCCTGGAAATGTGCCAGATTAATTTTTGTTCATAACAATATATTGGACTTACAGACACCTGTTTTCAAAAATAAAAAACTATTTAACCAGACTTATTTTGAAAATGTGGTTTAGGGCCAGCCAGTGCTCTGTGAAAAAAAAAAGGGGGGGGAGGCTCAGAGTTGTAAGGCAGAGGATCTTGAGACTAGTGAGAATAGACTGAAGATGAACAAACTAAATGCAGGATAAGGAACACTGAGAGACTCCTAGAGACTGCTCCTCCAACCTAAGTCTTGTGCTAGCCTCATCTCACGTGTACCCCAAAGAGAGATTTCTGCAGAAAAGGATGGGCCAGAAGGGCTACTTTCTGAAGCATGGTTTCTCCTCCCAAGAGACGCATGAAAAATCCATGCGATAATGCTACGCCTGTCAGAATCATAAACGTCCACTGAGGTGCAGTGAAACTCTCCAATATCAGCTACAGGTTGAACCTCTCCAATACAGCACCCTTGGGACCTGACTGGTTCTGAATGAGAGAATTTTCTGTATTATGGGAAGTTAATATTGTTTAGCAGCATTACCAACACTTCCACTGCTTACTGTGCAGCTAGCGGACATTTAGGAGTAAATTAGAGCTAAATAACAGCACAGAACACTGAGAACCAGGACTGCGCGCTGTAAACAAACTTTATGGGACAGCAGGAAACTTGGCCACACCCATGAAAAGGGGACATCCGGTGAACTAACATCATTTTGGATGACATGTTTCTGGACGAGAGAGTTCTGGATTAGAGAGGTTCAACCTGTAGCAGTATCTCATGTCCCTACAACTCCACGGAAAAAAAGATTAGGCACAATTCTGAATTAACTGATCTCAAAAGCCCTGGTTCAGGCTTCAGACCACATGACCCTAAATGTGTTATCTGCTCAATATACCACTGTCAACTAATGTTCTTCTGAGCCACCCAGACTGAAAACTAGAAGCTATTATTTATTTAGATCTTAAAGATCTTAATACAAATAGCAGAGTTTCTCACACCAAATCAAAAATCCCCAGGTCCTTTCCCGATCAAACTATTTCTACAGTTCTCAAATAGTTACCTCCTCATAGTAAATGCAATCTGCCATAAGTATGTAGTCTGGTGCAGGCAGAAATTCTTTTACATCTTCACCCCTAGAAAAAAGTGAATAGGTAAATATACAATGCAAACTTTAATTATACAACAAAACAGTATTTTTAAGTGTAACAATTAGTGCAAAAATCTATACAACTTTCAGCTAAATCCTCAACTAGTTATTCCACTGCATATTTTAGGGGAATTTTTCATGTTTACATGTGATCTGTCACACCATGTCTAAACCATATGTCTAAACATATTTGACATTTCAACCAGAAAGGACACTGTCTCAACGACTTAATTACCTGAATCCTGCTTCAGAAGCCTTTTAAATCTGCACTTGAAAGGGAATCCTCTGAACTGTCATTCATGCTAAAATTCGACACTCTACGCGGGGGGTCTCAACAAAGATTCTAGCTATCTTACCCATTACAACGATAGCTTCCCCAATTAGCACCTCTAATACCATTAGCTCACAGACATTTACCTTCCCCCCCGCATCCCACTTCTGTTCTGAAATTTGATTTGTCCTTTTCAAGTGTGTTCATTTTTTTTAATTGTATCCTTTGATATATATGGTTGTGACTATTTTCTTCCACTATTTGATCTGAGGAAGTGGGTCTGGCCCACGAAAGCTCATCATCTAATAAACCATCTTGTTAGTCTTTAAAGTGCTATATAGTCCTGTATTTTGTTTCAGCTACACCAGACTAACACGGCTACATTTCTATCACTATTTGACAGTGTATCTGTTATCTCTTGCCTTAAACTTAAAGACTGCAAACTCCATGAGGCAAAGCTGTCCTTTTGTTGTGTTTGCACAGTGCCTAGCCTGTGATCAGTGCTCCTATATGCTCTGATAAGACAATTATTTAATCATAAAAATCTACAACAATTATGTAGGTTAAATATCAAGATTAAAAGATTATACAAACCATTTCAGTACCTTGGCTTGAACTGAGCCTGTGACAAGATGCTTGTTCTTTTCAATATTAACATTCAGCAAATCCTGAAGTTCCTCAAGATCAGTGACCGTAACATCTGCCCTACAATCCTTTCCCGATCAAACTATTTCTACAGTTCTCAAATAGTTACCTCCTCATAGTAAATGCAATCTGCCATAAGTATGTAGTCTGGTGCAGGCAGAAATTCTTTTACATCTTCACCCCTAGAAAAAAGTGAATAGGTAAATATACAATGCAAACTTTAATTATACAACAAAACAGTATTTTTAAGTGTAACAATTAGTGCAAAAATCTATACAACTTTCAGCTAAATCCTCAACTAGTTATTCCACTGCATATTTTAGGGGAATTTTTCATGTTTACATGTGATCTGTCACACCATGTCTAAACCATATGTCTAAACATATTTGACATTTCAACCAGAAAGGACACTGTCTCAACGACTTAATTACCTGAATCCTGCTTCAGAAGCCTTTTAAATCTGCACTTGAAAGGGAATCCTCTGAACTGTCATTCATGCTAAAATTCGACACTCTACGCGGGGGGTCTCAACAAAGATTCTAGCTATCTTACCCATTACAACGATAGCTTCCCCAATTAGCACCTCTAATACCATTAGCTCACAGACATTTACCTTCCCCCCCGCATCCCACTTCTGTTCTGAAATTTGATTTGTCCTTTTCAAGTGTGTTCATTTTTTTTAATTGTATCCTTTGGTATATATGGTTGTGACTATTTTCTTCCACTATTTGATCTGAGGAAGTGGGTCTGGCCCACGAAAGCTCATCATCTAATAAACCATCTTGTTAGTCTTTAAAGTGCTATATAGTCCTGTATTTTGTTTCAGCTACACCAGACTAACACGGCTACATTTCTATCACTATTTGACAGTGTATCTGTTATCTCTTGCCTTAAACTTAAAGACTGCAAACTCCATGAGGCAAAGCTGTCCTTTTGTTGTGTTTGCACAGTGCCTAGCCTGTGATCAGTGCTCCTATATGCTCTGATAAGACAATTATTTAATCATAAAAATCTACAACAATTATGTAGGTTAAATATCAAGATTAAAAGATTATACAAACCATTTCAGTACCTTGGCTTGAACTGAGCCTGTGACAAGATGCTTGTTCTTTTCAATATTAACATTCAGCAAATCCTGAAGTTCCTCAAGATCAGTGACCGTAACATCTGCCCTACAAAAAAAAATTATTTAATTCATAGAAAGCCCCAGAAAGAACATTAAGACTCCTTATTAACATTTGAAAATAAACATATCTGTAATCTTTCATTCCTTATGGAAAGCTACTGATGACTAAACTAATGACTTAATATGTACTGAATTCCTTCAGCAACACACACTCCTGTTCTGATGAAAAGAAAAACTGGCTCACAAAATGAAAAGAAAGAATTTAAGAGGAGTAGACCAAAAAACAGGATTCTTCTACATTTGCTATAAAGTGGGATCCCTTTATAAAAATAACAAGAAGTCCTGTAGCACCTTAAAAACTAAAACTTATTCGGGAATAAAGCTTTTGTTGACTGGAGCCCACTGCAAAGCTTATGCCCAAATAAATGTGTTCTTCTTTAAGTTATCAAAGGATTCCTAGTTGTTTTTGCTGAAAGAGAATAACAGGGCTGCTCCTCTCAAACTTGTGTTAAAATAGTGATATTTACATTCAAATCCCTACCTCTGTTTTAAACAGACACCTTGAAGCTCCCCTGGGGGGGGGGTTCCAATGTAAATTTGCATAACTTCAATTAAAGGCCCATCTTTAGAAATTGGCTGGGTTTTATTGCTCCCTTTGCTGGTTACTCAGCATAGTCTACACTAGGGTTCCCCCTAAGCTGTGCATTTGTGCAGCCACTCAGGAGAGATTTAAATGCTGTCGGCTGTGCCAACAGCTAGATTTTTATTTCTACTGGTGGTGCACATTTGCACATGTCTCAGTACACATAGGAAAAATTATTCCACACATGGGATAGAAAAAAAACAACCACACATGGATGGAAAAGATGAGGGAACACTGGTCTACACTGCAAAAACTAAAACCACACACACACATGCAACTGGCCCAAGTCAGCTAACAAGCACTCATGGGGCTCAGGGTGCAAGGCTAAAATTGTTAAGAGTCTGGCACCAGCTAGAGCCTGGAGCTTCAGGCCTCTGCCCAGGTTGCAGGAATGTCTACACTCAACGTTTCAGCCCAAGTCGGTTGACCAGGGCTCTGAGTAGGGATGTTAAATTGTAATTTGACTAATCAAATAGTTGATGCATCGACTACTCGATTCGAGAGGGCGCCTCGGCCTCTGAAGTGCAGCAACAGCCCCTAGGGCTTTTGCCACACTTTAAAGGCAACAGCGCCCCGTGGAGCCCAAGGTCAGCTGGCCCCAGGCTGCAGTGGGCATTTCAAAGCAGCCCTGCCGCAGGGAGCCAGGAGTCTGGCCCAAGGCTCCATGCGGGGCTGCTGCTTTGAAGCACCCCTCCTCCTTTTCCCTTGGAGAGGGAAGGGGGTCACAGTGAGGGCAGGCCCCCCCGCAGAGGGTCACAGTGGGGGCAGGCCCCCCCGCAGAGGGTCACAGTGG